TGCCTAAATGTTTTGGGGGTTTTAGCTTGGCTGGATAGGTTAATGCTCCTGGGGTCACAGGCAGAGCTGGTGGATGGATTCCCAACGCTGGACACACACACTTTGTCCCCATGTCCCTAAGGGCGTCCACAGCCAGCTTGCTTCCAGCACTTTGGCAAAGAGTATTTAAATTTTTTTTTTTTTTGTGGCAGCTGCTGCATCCAGAAGCTTGATAGGCTATTAATACTGAGGCTAATTTTACCAATCCATTCAGATTTACCGTTTTCCACTTGTCAGCGTGCTGATTAAGAGGCACACGGCCATCAGAGAGAGGCTCGACCTAAAGTGACGAACATCAGGACTAATTTGCGAGTCGGACTGAAAATCGGAAACGCAACAGCGGCGCTTTCTCATGTTGCATGCCTCTCAGCTGCTGCTAGCTGAAAATCTGTAAAACTGACTGCGTTTTAGCCATTCTTGTGCGTTGACTCCAAAAGTTAGCTGTACAGCCAATGATTTATGTCTGAGAGTTTCATTAAAATCCTTCAAGACGTCCATGTGATATTTTGCTAACAGACAAACAGGGCTGAGTACAAGAGTTAATGTTGAAGTTTGAAGCGAAGAGCTCACACAATAAGTAGCACTTGGACTGTGTGTTGTGAATCACTCTCAGCTACGATTACACCAAAGTGTAGCTCTTTATGTCTAAAACTGACGAAGCTCTAGCCATTTTTGTGCTTTCGAATATCAGTTGGCTGTGGCAGCCATCTTGAATTGGTTTGACTCCAAAAGCTAATCAGTTGTTGATGTACACCTAGTCATTATTTCCTGCGAATTTGATTAAAAAATATGTCCTGTAGTTCATGAGATATTTTGCTAACAGACATACAGTTGACGCCGAATCGTTACTGACAGAAGTTTGAACTAAGAGCTTGCCCAGTCTGTTAGTTCAGGATGACTCTCAGCTAATACCACACCTAATTCTGGGTTAGTTAGCACATCCAGTGGTTACTTTCTGAAAGTTTCATAAAAATCCGTCCTGTTGTTCATGAGATATTCAGTTAAAAAGTGAGCTCACACACAAACAGGCACAGGCATAAACATTAGTCAGTGTCGTCGCTCTTCGGCAGCGAAAATAAAATATTGACAAGTTATCGACTGTGAGGTGTTTGGAAGGTTTCTGCATGGCTCCCTGGGGCCTGCAGGTGGTGCAACAGTACAGACCATAAGGTGACACTTACAGGAACCACAGCTTCCTGAAGGTGGTTTGAAAAAAAAAAAAAGAAAGCTCCCAACAGTGGGAGCTGCTTAGAAAACAGAAGCTGTTTTGGTTCACACTGAAACAGTTAAAACAAATCAATACTGTCAATAAATTTGTTTAGGTAAGGAAGCCTATATAGTTATAGAAAAAAGAACGTTCACGTTTTCAGTTTCAGAGATTCATGTCAAGTTCAAGTTGTGTTTATTTGTCATAAGCACGTCAACACAAGGTTAACAATACAATGAAACGTTCAAGATGAGAAGAACCGATGTGGCTCGCTTAAAAAAAAAGTCAAAGCACAAACAAACTAGAAAATACTAAAGCATGCACTAAGTGTACAAAATAAAGTACCAAAAAGTGAAATAGTAATTATAATATTTACAAAGGTCCTAAAGAGAGATAGTAAACAACAACATGGTAGAATGTAACGGTGCAGCAGGATGAATTTGAATGAATAAGTATTTGACAGGTAGTAATATAAGCTAAAATGCACATGATATATATTGCACATTAACATAAACTACACAGGTTGTGTGACAGGTTACTGCACAGGTAGTGAGTAACATTGAGATGAGTTATGATGGTTAGGTACATACATGATGCAGCCACATAATGCATTAGCAATAAACATATTAGGTGTCACAGATGTGGCTTGGTGCAATGTTATTTCCAGTTGTTCAGTGTTATTTATTGAGAGTTCAGTAATCTGACAGCTGGTGGGTAATGAACTGTCTTTGAGTCTTTTTGTGCACGATGGCAGACTCCTGTATCGTCTGCCTGAGGGTAGTAGATGGAAGAGTCATTGTGCTGGGTGGGTGTGGTCCTTAATGATGCTGCGTTATTTACACAGACATCAGCTGTGGTTGATGTCTTGGATGGTGTAGAGACTGCTACCAGTGATGCCCTCTGCTGTTTGCACCACCCTCTGTAGTGGTTTGCAGCTCTGACTGGTGCAGTTCCCATACCACCCTGTGATGCAGCCTGTCAGCAGGCTCTCAATGGTGCACCTATAAAAGTTGGTGAGGATGCTGGTGTTCGTACCAAACTTTACTATAGTTTCGAGCAAACAAATAATTGTTTTTAAGTGTTAATCTTGTTAAATTCTTGTTAAACGCTCCCGCGGCTGCCATTTGGGAGCCGATCTATTTTTGGCACAACACCAGCCCACATTTCCGGGTTGTTAGCGGCAACGCGTAATGCGACGCGTCAGCGGTGACGCATAATAGATGTGATGTATATGGCGAAGTGACATATTTATGGATTTTTCCACTTTATTAGACATATTTGGACTGATGCGACTTATAGGATGGAGCAATGTGTACGGCGGAAAATACGGTATATATATATATAATACATACATACATACACGTGTCTATAAGCCACAGGTGTCCACGTTGTAACAAGATATTTACACAGAAAGATTTTTAAAACTTAATTAAGTACGTATCGGTAACGTACACAAATAAGTACTGTAAATGTTTTTTTTCTGAACAGTGCCTGTAACACGACTGGTTAAAAAAGTACAAAATACAGTAGCCTACCAGGAAAAGTCATTGATCATTATCTTCATCTTCTGCTACGCACTAAAACCACTAGTTGTCTTCAGTGTTGGAACTGAACAGCCTCATGATTACTTCATCACACACGTCCTCAGTCTCTTTTGTTGCTGCTGTCAACATCACTTTTGTCTCGAGGCAAATTCGCCCTTGAGCTTATGCTGTCCTCTTCTTCATGCAGCAGTCCAGCCTTTCGAAACCCGGTGGTGGTGGTGGATTTTTTAGTTGGTGACACTGCTCCACGCTGTCAGGATCCACTGGCAGACTTGAGCAAAAGTTGCACTGTACATGTGGCAAAATGTGCAAAATGACTCACCTGAAGAATTTAGTGCAAGTGAGTTTGATTTACTGTAGTTGAACGTTTTTTTGGTCCACTGTGATTAGGGGTTGAAGGACTACATACTTTTTAAACTCGACATTAACATAATAAAACTTGAGTAGAACTCGAGTAGTTGATGACGTCATAGGATCTAAAAATGCAAAAATAAATAAAACCGCAACAAAGTAATTATTATTTACAAAATAAGACCAGCAAAACATTGGGAGCGTATATTATGCCCCTACCATTTATCATACAGCAAGTAAGTCGCAGGAAAACCAAAACTATTGGTTATTATGATTAAGCTGCAAAAGTGAAAGCAGCGTCTGGCACGTCAAAAACAAAACTAAAAACAGTGGGGCGGACGACCACCCCGCACCACCGCCCGCAGTGGTGCACATTAGGTTTAGTTTTAGACATGAATATGTTTATAGGTTTTTATAGGTTTAGAGATTAATATTTTTTTGCTTTTTGTTTGTGAAACAAGGTCAGAGGAAGCTGGTTCTGGTTCGGTCAATTGGACTCGGTGTTACACCATATTCTGTGACCTGCAACAGTGCATGCAACACCGCCCCCTACAGTCACAGTATACGGCGGTTACAGAATATGGTGTAACACCGGTTCACAATGAGCTCCAAACAGTCAGGAAGTTGATTCATTTTCTGTTTCCTTACGGTAGTTGAACCGGAAGATTCATCTTTAGTGAAATATTTCCAAACTATTGATGCATTTCTACCTGTTTGCCAAGACTGGGCCTGCTCCGCTCCATCTGTCTGCTGGGAGGAATCCATTTGGTAGCCCATGCCGGTGCGGATCACGTGACACGTGACCCAATGATGTAATGGCGACGTAATGACGTCACTACGAATACTCGACGTGACATTTCAAAACTCGATAGATGTTCTAGGAATCTATGTGTCGATTACTCGAGTAGTCTGTTAAAGCCCTAACTGTGACCTGTTTGATGATTTCATTGGCCTGATGTGACGAGGATAAATGTTTTGGCGGCATGAAGCTCGTTAGCCAGTACAAATCCATACATTTACCACAGCATTGTAAAAGCTGCAATGTTCAAAGCGTGTGAAAAAAGTAGCAGCTTATAGTCCGTATATTATGGTAGTTCTTTGTTGATTGTTGCATGGCCTTTTTTTGGGGTGGGGGTGGGGGTGGGGAGATTGAAATCATTTCAGAATCTGTTGAAGACATTTTATCACGTTCTGACATGTAAAACCTTAGAACCGAAAGTACATTTCCTCCCAACAAGTGTTGAATATTTAGCACATTCATTTTCTTCATTTATTCCAATCGTGTATTTATTTATTTTTTTGAGAACAGGTTCAGATCCTGTGTTGTGTATCGTGCCGCCTTATTCCTGGCACCACTCACGGCTCCCGTCTGCCAACCCACCGGCTCAGGAACGTTCAGCTCCACAAAACTGATCTGCCACGATTTGCCGCTGGTTATGCATCAACGTTGCAGCCTCATACCCCCACCCCACCCCCGAATGCTGCACTGTGGAATAATGAACCCCGTTTGAGCACGTCTCTACCTTCCGAGCATGCTTGTCTGTGTTTTCCATGATTGCCGCATTTGCCAACGGAGCCACGGGGAGCTCGACAAAGCAGACCGCAGTCCAAGTTTAATTTCCTCCATCTGATGGAACGATAGTTAGAACAAATGCTCTGTAGCAGGGAAGCACCGTTTCCCCCCAGTTGCTGCCTTTTTGTATTTCTTTTTCCCTTTTCCCCCCCCCCCCCCCCACCACCACCAATCACCCTCGATTCGTCGCCATTGTTTATCCAGGTGTCGCTCAGAACCTGTTTGATTTCGGATGTGTGCACACACCAGTGACTCGAGGATTAATTGTCACGCTTTCATCTTTCAGGAAATTGATGAAGCCTGCAAGCGCATCAAGCGGGAGGTCGACGAGCTGGGGCCCCAAGTCGGTGATATGAAGATCATCCCGCTCTACTCCACGCTGCCTCCTCAGCAGCAGCAGAGGATCTTCGAGCCGCCCCCACCCAATAAACCGAACGGCGCCTTCGGAAGGAAGGTAAAAGTTGTCGAGTCCGTACAGAAACATTTGACGGTGAGAGGAAACGAAGGGCCTGATGGGGAAGTGGATGAATAAAGTAGGAGAGCTTGAAGGTGGAAACTTTTTCCTGCCACCCCACCCCCGCGTTCCCCCTCAGCTTTAGCGCAGGACTGACTCACACAACATATGCTGCTCTTGTGAGCGCAAGATTCTCTGCTCTGAATTAGAACTGGGGTGTTACTCACAGCCTGTGAGCTGGAGGAAAGAGCTGCATCCTTGGTCATTTTAACGCCCACCACCAAAAAGTGAAGTGTGCCTGTGTCTGTATGTGTGTGTATGTCTGTTAGCGAAATATCTCATGAGCCACTGGACAGATTTGCCACTGGACAGATTTTAGTGAAACAAGCAGAAAGTAATTATTGGCTTTACATCTAGAACTGATCAACTTTTGGAACCAGTTCAAGATGGCTGCCACAGCCAAGTAACCTTGAAAACTACAAAAATTGCTCTAACGTGATATAACGTGACAGATATTGTTTGGTAGTAGCTGAGACTGATCCCCATCACATACTCTGAGCACTAACTGATTTTTTCCACTAGCTTTGTGGTAAATTTTCTATTAACTTCATGCCGTTAACTCCATCTGTCTGTTAGCAAAATATCTCATGAACCACTGGTTAGGTTTAATTGAAACGTTCAGAAGTTAGTCATAGGATGCACCTCTTCAATTCTTTAGCTTTTGGAGTCAATCCAATTCAAGATGGCTGCCACAGCTAAGTGACGATATCCAACACAAAATAAGCTGTAACTCAGTCATTTTTTGTAAATATTAAGCTAAAATTTGATGATGTACTAGGTGAGAGTCATCCTCAACACATGCTCTAAACCAGTGGTTCCCAACACTGGTCCTTGTGGAACACCATCCTGCATGTTTTAATTGTTGCCCAGCTCCAACACACCTGATTCAGTGATTTAATTACTTTCTCAAGTTCTGCTAAAGCCTGTTAATCACCAATTCATTCAAATCAGGTGTGTTATTCTCAATTTGTATACATCCTTCCTTTATGATTGTCCATTGTTGTCTTTATTGTCCACTGTTGTCATCATTCTTTGTTAAAACCAGGTCTCTCTTGTAAATGAGTCCCCGAGGCTCGATGGGATTAACCTGTATAAATAAAGGTTGAATGAAAAAGTGTTGAATCAGGGAAACAACTAAAACATGCAGGATGGTGTTCCTCAAGGACCAGTGTTGGAACCACTGCTCTAAATGATACATCTCTTAGTATCACACATTAGGTTCAATGTTTGCCCAAAATGGCCACAAATCATAAAATTCAAGGAATGCTAGGCCTTAAATTATGTCTGTCTTTGCATTACACACTAAAAAGAACATCTTAAACTTTTGGATCTGTCATTTATTCCTCATTTATCCTGAGTGAAACTGGTCATGCACTCATTTGTACAAACACAGGCGGGTTAGCCTATTTTTGTGTGACAGTTTCTGTTCATAGTATCGGCTCCAACTGCTCTGTCACGCTGCTGGCTCGGGATCTGAGAGAATAGCAGAACACCATCTCTGCTGCCAGCCTGTGAGCAAACACTCATCCCCAACAGCTGATAGGAGACGGTGTTGATGAATGACTCATTGCTACAGCCCAGCTAATTGTGTCAGATCAGGCTGACACGAGCAGCAAAAGTATTTATGAGCTGTCAAAGTTAAACACATTGTGATACATCAAAAAACTACTCGGTTCTACCTGGATTTGGTGACTTTAAGAGTCACAACAATGCGTCTAACAGTCATTAGTAGGATTTGACGATCCTGGCTGGTTTATTATTGAGTTGGTTTTTTTTCCAAAAGGGGTTTTTCATGAATTGTTGACACGAGTATGTCTGCTATAATGTTATGCCACTTGCTTTGCAGATTATTAATCATTTCATTCATTCAAGTTTATTTTAAGAGAAACTCATAAAAAGCACTTGGACAATGTGACAAGAATTAATTTTCAATGTGAAAATAATAGTGCTCCCATTCTTGGAGATTCTAAAAATAAAAAAGGCGATTTAATAAGGTTTACATTTAAGAAACAAAACTAACCATCGGTACAAGATTGTTGTTGTATCAGGCAACATTTAGCAGCCTTCCAGATTGAAGAGGACATGTGTTTCTGGTTTTCCTTTTCACAAAACATACTTTCAGAGCATAAGACGTCCTACAGAATGGGACTCTAACATGACCCGGTAAAGCAGCTCTTGTAGATCTGCAGCTTTTCTGCATTTTCCTAACAGGGACTAAGTTCATTTAAACAATTGAAGGCAAATATTACAAAATGAAAACAGATGAAATAGGGGCAGCTAAAACAGGTGAGCACAAAGATGGCAGAATGTCATCAAGTTTAGCAGAAGCCTATCAACAATTCATTCATTTCCATCATCCATTCAACCTTTATTTAAACACATAAATCACATTGAGCCTCCAAGACTCATTTACAAGTGAGACCTGTTTGGACAGACAAAAACAGTGGTAAACTGGACACATGTAGGAGTTGGAGGCGAAAAAATTCCTATCAGACTTTTTTTTCCTGCCTGAGAAAAGAACCCCTCTAATATTAAAAAACACCTCGCCCAAACAAGCACATATTGACATAGACATTCTGCAGAGGGGGAGAGGCGAGAGCTGTCAGCGTGTTCATAGATGCTCTCGAGGTCAATGTAAGAGTTCTGATAAGGATGGAATAATCAGTCATCAGGTGTGTTGAAGCAAAGTAACGCCTAAAACATGCATCAGGGTTGGGGACTTCTGGCCTAGAATAAAGTTTTGCAAGCCATGCACACAAATAGGCAATGGTTTCTAAATATTGGTTGCCCAGAAAGTGGCAGCATGGCTGGCCGGTCGCAAATTTAATAAGACAACTGAAAAGACCTTTTTTTTTTCCCTTAGCTATTTTGAGTCGTCAACTAGTCTCCAACTGTTGCAGCCCGGTGATATTCTAGTTTAAGTGGCACAGAGCCTTTTTGATAGTAATGGTGATCTATACTTCAGTTAAAAAAAAAGTTAGAATCTCCATAAAGAAGTAAAAAAAACCCAGCAAATGCACTTCGGTTGTCTGAACTGTATACCCAACCATCGCTTTTAACTTTCAGAAAAGCACAACTTACCCTCCACCCCCACCCCCACCCCCAACATCAATTTGTCATGTTCTTGTTGAATTGGCGAGGTGGCATCTAAAGTTGCCGTCCTTGAAGTAAATGTGCTTCTCTTCAGTGACTGACTGAGCAACTCATCAAGTGAAAAATGCAGGGATGTCATCCAAGCCAGCTCAAGAGGAAGTAGTGAAGAAGAATTAAGGTTCGCCACATCTGGCGCCGCGCATGCTAACGACTGCATTAGGCAACCCTCAATTAACATAAAGCACCCGCTCGTCATCGCTCTATTTCTCTTGGAAAGCTACCGATCTTCCATTTTTGAGCAGTTTAATCATTTAAAGACCGAGGCAGGAGTTGAGTAACGACGAGCAGAAGCCGTAATCTCACTTAGCGTTCCAGGGTTAGGAACGTGTTCGCTGATAAATCTGCTACAGTTAAATATTTTTTAACATCGCCGTGTTTCAGATGTTCCCCCTGATGTCACTTAAGATTGTGCCAGGTATCTATTTGAACGAGCTTTGGATGTGAAGCATCGACACCGCTCTGGGGGCGTGTTGTTCTCCTCTCTAGTCAGGGGAAGGCTTTATTTGTCAACAAGGCAGTGCTTCCCAGGAACGTGAAAGATGGCCCATTTTAGCTATAGTGCTTGCTCTCCTGCAGGTAATAACCCAGAAATAACACGCAGAGATGATGCTCTAATGATATTACTGATGAAGAAGTCAGGATAATCCCGCGCAGCAACAGACTGGAAGGAGCCAGCCTGCGTTCAGTGTAATGGTCCTAGCCCGGATAATCCTTCAGAATCAATGCAGTCAATGAGGCCACCCATACGATCATGAAATGTGAGAGGGTGTCATGTGCGGCATCTGCCAAAGCACCGCCTGCGACCCGGTGCATGAATCAGAAGCAACCTCCTTGAGTCTGTTTTTTTTTTTAACCAGACTTTGAATCATTCCTTTGTCCTGTTTTATAGTTGTAAATGTTTTATGCTGTAAAATTGCTACATGCCAGCATCTGAGGTGCTGTCTGATCTCCATCATCAGCAAGTTAGAATAGTTCTTATTACCGTATTTTTCCGGTGTATAAGTCGCAGATTTTTGCATAGATTTGTCAGTTTTGCGACTTACATGCCAAAGTGACATATACATATTTTTTCCATATTTATAACACAATTTTTGACTGATGCTTTAAATTTCTAAGAACTGCAACAGCGAGTCCTCCCGTGCACGCTCGCTTCACTCAGCCGGTGCAGGCAGTGGAACGCTGGAGAGCTAGCGGCTCCGTCCGCTATAGATGGATGGATGGATGGATGGTGCCGTACCGCCCAGGCGAAATGAAGCTGTTTTGACCATTAAATAAACGCCTAATAAACTTGACAGGTCAGCAGTGACGCATAATAAATGCGACTTATATGCCGAAGCAACTTATATGTTTTTTCCCCATTCATGATGCTTTTTTTGACTGATGCAACTTATACTCCGAAGCGACTTATACACAGGAAAATACGGTATATGGCACTTAAAAAACAACAAATATTAAGTTTGGTGCAAAAATATATGAGGACATTGAAAATGAAAATTAAATTATAGTCTTTTTTTCAGAATGCACCTTTTTTTTCCCCTTCTTCTTTCGGCTGTTCCCTTCTTCAGAGGTTGCCACAGCGAACTAACTTGCATGGAGACTTGGCAATTGGTTTTACGCTGGATGCAACCACAGACCACCGAGCTACCACAGCCCTCTGTGTGGAGCAGAGAGCTGACATGTAGGGCGCCCCAGGGAGCAGATGGTGTGGGTTAAGGGCCTTGCTCAAGGGTCCAGAGTGGGGCAGATGAGGGTGGATGCTTTACTTTTTCCACCCACGTTTTTTGGTGTCGTCAGTCTGGGGTAGTCGAACCGGCGACCTTCTGATCCCAGGCTCGCCGCCTTCTAACCTCTGTGCCACCACTCCCCCCCCCCTTTTTAGGAATGCACCAATTAGTTTCTAGCCCAATTCCAGTTACTGTTTTTGTAATGTGCTGACCTGCCATTTCTGTTTCTCTCCATGAGTTATAATCCATCCATCCATCCGTCCGTCCATCCATCTATCTATCCATTCATTCAATCATTCATTCGTTCATTTTTCTTTAAACGGTTTCTTTATCAAGTTTGTGGATCTCAGTCAAGCTATCCAATTCTGATCACCAGCTGGAATTTGGGTGTCTCTCCAGTAGCCTTTGCAATGGTGCAATTTGCTATTCACTTCAGCAGGTTTAATGTAAAATAATAATAAATAAATAATTTAGAAGAACACTAGCTGTAAATTCCTGCTCTGAACACTATCCTTGGGTTCATGTTCTACCTTTGAGCTGCTCTCTTATTAACTTGATACCCTTTTCCAGTTAACATTTATTATTTTACCACACATTGCGTTCACATCATGGCAGCCAAGAGCCGTGTGTATAAAAAAACTCAAACCTTTTTCCCCGTCCATTAGGTTTCGTACCAGCCTTTATGTCCATCTTCATTTATCAGCTTGAATACTAAAGGGGAATGTTTCTTTCGACAGGTGAATTACTGGAGGTCAGAGGCAAAATGAGAGCAGGAAAGGCCCCTCTCTGGCATTAATAACTAAACAGTCGAGCATTCTCAGGCTGCGGAGAAATCCTCACTTAAAAGGTGGGATTTAAAAGTCTCCAAGGCTCACAGCTTGGAGACATCTGAAGAGGCACGGCTACAAAGGAAGTGTGTCAAGTGTGCCAAATTGGTTCTGTGGACGTGTATCAGCAAAGACTACAGTCGCCGTTTGGTTTTACGCTCGCCATTTTATCATAAAGACTACCAAAATAGAAAACCAGACATCAAATAGTTGCTTAGGTCAGCCTACATCTTGTTTCTGTCTTGTTGAACAAATGTCATCGAGGGGTCTGTTTTTCTCTCAACACCTGCTTTTTTTTTAAGCTTGAACGCTGGTTTAACCGTTTCCTGAAAATTTGTCCACGTCCCGGTTTTCCAAGTATGAAGTGTCTTGAAGACTTTAAAGCTGTTTCCGGTGTTATTTGCGAAGAACTTTTCCTCGCGGCAGTAAAAGTTTGCACGAGAGCGTTAGAAAATCTGCTCTTCCCTTTCTCCCTCTGTTCGTCTGCATGCTGACAGCGAAAGACTCGGGCTAATGTGACTCATTGGATAATTTTGCTTTTGAATCGTCTGTCGTTCTTCATAGATATCGTCGCTGTAAGGGATGGTAGTAAGATCTGAGACTGCAGCGTGGTGCATGTTCACTGTTTCCCCACTGGTCATGTTCTAAGAACCCAAGCAGCTTTCACTGGGTTTTTTCATTCCTGCTTCCTTTTCCCTCTCAAACTATTCCTCTAAAGAGACAGTTTGGAGATGGTGATTGAGCAGAATACAGCACCTGTCACAATAAAATACCAAAAACTTATGAAATCAGTATATAAAGAATCTGATCTAAGTTCCATCCATCCATCCATCCATCCATCCATCCATCCATCCATCCATCCATCATTATCTTTACCTGCTTCTTTCTTTTTGGTCACTGGGGTCACTGGTGCACATATCCAGGAGTTACTGTGCGAGAGGCGGGGGACACCCAGGACAGGTGTCCAGTCCATCACAGGGACACAGAGACAAATGAGACAAACAACCATTCACACCTAGGGACAATTTAGAGTTACCAATCAGCCTAACATGCATGTTTTTGGTCTGTGGGAGGAAACCGGAGTACCCGGAGAAAACCCACGCATGCACGGAGTGAACATGCAAACTCCACCCAGAAAGGCCCCTGGCCAGGATTTGATCCGGCAACCTTCTCACTGAGAGGCAACAGATTTACCAACCAAGCCACCAGAATACAGCACCCGTCATAGTAAATTTATTTATTTTTTTGTTCATTTACCCTTTATTCATACAGGTAGTCTCATTGAGCCACAAGAACTCATTTTCAAGAGAGACCGGTTTAGGGAGCAGATGGTGGGGGTTAAGGGCCTTGCTCAGGGGCCCAAAGTGGGGCGAATGGGGGTGGAGGGAGGTGTGGGTGTTTCACCTTTTCCACCCACATTTTGATGTTGATGGTCCCGGGAGTTGAACCAGCGACTTTCCGATCACAGGCTCATCTTCTCTAACCTCTTCTCTTCTAACATCTTCTCATCACCCCCCCCCCCCCCCCCCC